AACAAACGACAACGACCAACCAACACATATCCGCAAGGGTTTCGCCCCCTGCCGCCGGCCCCCTGTATCAGATAATGGGCAATGCAAAGGCGAAGTGATGAGGCCTCGGCGCCGCCGTGAACCAGCGTTGGGACTTCACGCGAAGACGATGGGTGATCGGCAAGGCAAATTGAGATTCGGTGTTGTATTTCGACGGTTTATGGTTTCGGATACGCGAATCGCGCGTAAGTTACGAAGGTTTATGGCGTCGGGCTCGCAGATATAGCGTAATCTACACAGGGTTATGGCTTCGGGGACGCGAGTATTGTATAACTTACAAGGGCGTATGGCTTCTGAAACGCGATTATTGCGTCACGTACGAAGGTTTATGGTTTTGGGGCCGCAGATATCGTGTAATTTACGCAGGTTGATGGTTTCGGAGACGCGAGTCGTGTATAATCTACAACGGTTGATTGCTTCGGGGACGCGAGTATTGCGTGAGTTACAAGCGTTTGTGACCTCGGGGACGCACGCATTGCATAACTTACGAGGGTTTATGGTTTCGGGGGCACGAATGTGCAGTATTTCGCGAGGGGTTATGGTTTCGCGGACGCGAATGTCGCCTAACTCGCGAGGGTCTATGGCCTCGCGGACGCGAGCATTGCGTACTTTGCAAGGTTTATGGCCTCGGGGGCGCGACTGTCATGTATTTTTACATGTCCCACGCCCCCCCAGGAATTCAGAGCACGCGATTCGGGAGTGGTCGCTAAATTCCTTTTCGGCTCCCCCCTTGCGCTGTCCATCGGCAAGGAACAGTAAGCAGCAAGAAGCAAATCTGTAGCAGTGGAACATGGAAATGGAACTGGCACAGGGAAGAGCAAACCCTAGCCCTACAGCCTGGTGGCCCCACAAGGGGGCCGGCGGATTGAAGCAATAAACAAACATAAACAACACATAGGAACCCGAAAAAATGGAAACCAACAAACAACACGTTGAGAGCTTAGGCCAAATGTCTTCCGCGGGGAGTCAGGGGAGAGTGAAGTGTAGTTTTCATACTGTGCAGTTGCGCAGAGGGAGCAAGAAGGAACAGGGCGGAGGAGGAGCAGGAGGAGAGTGGAATTGGGGGAGGCAGAGGGAGCCGACCTCGACCATGATCACGACGACCACGGCGACCGCGACGACGGCTGCGACGACACCGACAGCCTCGGCGTTGGCGACGGCGACGACCACGACGACCGCCACGACGTCGGCGACGTGGTCGCCGCCGTCGGCACCGCCGCGGCGGGAGCCTCCCGCGAGACGCGGCGCCGCCGCGGCGCTCGCGCGGCGGCCCTCGCGGCCGGCGCGGCGGCTTGCGCGCTCGGCGCGCTCGCGCGCCTTCGGGCGGCGGCGTGGCTTGGCCCGGCGGGCACCGCGGAGCACGCCGTGGACTGAGGAGGAGGAGGAGGAGGAGGAGGAGGAGGAGGAGGAGGAGGTGGAGGTGGTCCTGCGAGCCAGAGGAGAGAAAGTGCTTACACAGTCGAGGCGTTGGAACTTCAGGGCCGGTTTGGGCTCAGGAATGGCTTCGGTTTCCTGTGCCGCTCCGCAGAATTGGGTCGGGCAGCTTGTTTGTTGCCGAGGCTCGCAGTGGCAAGGCTAACCCCTGCAATCCGCGAGAGCAACGTCAGGCGAGGATCCGGGCCAATCGCCGGTCTGTCGGCAATGCATCGCCGATCGGAACGATCGAAATGGGTGCGGAAAGAATGGGTACGAAGGCCGACATCTGTTCCTATCCGTTTTGAACAGGCTTCGTTGTCGGTGTCGCCGTGGTCGTTGTCCATTTGTGACAGAAGGCCGCCTGCCCAACAGCGGCCGCTGCTGGTTTGGGCCAAAAATTGTTGCTGGGCATTGTACCCATTTTTCCGTACCCGTTTCGGGCGTCCAAAGCCGATTTAAGTTCGATGTCCCCCTCCGAGTTGGTTTCCCCCTGACATTGCCCCCTGTGTTTCTTGTTCAGTGTCCATTTCGGTCACACGATTACTGCAAACATGATGTTGCGGAGGTCCGCGCGGAATTCGTGGATCGGTGCTGTCCCTCCCCGGCGGCGCCTCTGGCGCCGCCCATGGCACGCTCAGCTTTGGGGCCAGGGAGGACGGTCCAACGCCGGTCCAAGAAATCCGTGCGGATCTTGGAGAGCCTATGTTTGTGGAGCTGCTTATTGTTACTCTTACCACCATTATATTACACTATTGTTATCCTTGTTACTATGATTATTAGTAGTAGTATTGTTATTATTCTTATTATCGTTATTAGTATTATCATTGTTAGTATTCGTCTTATGATGATTCTTCCTACTATTCTTAGCTTTCTTGTTCTTCTTCCTCTACAGGGAGGGAGCGGGTCCTGGAGGTTTTTGGCCGTTCTCGGCGTCCCTGAGCCCTCCACGGGCCCCGGGACTCTCAGACGAACGGCTCGGGGCGGAGCACCGGCCCCGAGGCCCGGGACCTCTCTCCGGCAGGCCTCGCTGGCCCACCCGGCCCAG